CGGCCGCGCCGAGCCGCGGGGGACGGGCAGAGCCGCCCGGCGGCAGAGCCCGGCCGCGGGGACATCCCCCGGGCGGAGGTACCTGCGGTGTCCGGGCGGCCGCGGAGCGCGGTGTCACCGAGCCGCCGCCATGGCGCTGCTGGGGCGGGAGCGGCTCCGCCCCGCCCGCATGGACCGGACAACGTGACGGGCCGTTGCCATGGCAGCGCCGCGTGACGTCAGAGCGCGCGCAGCGCCACGCCCCCTGCGGGCGGCGCTTCTGTCACCCCGCGTGTGACAGCCGTGAGGGACGGGACCCGGGCGGGGGACACGGGGCGTGGGGACACCGAGGGTGACAGCCGTGAGGGACGGGACACGGGGCATGGGGACACCGAGGGTGACAGCCGTGACGGACGGGACACGTGGCGGGGGACATGGGGACCTGGGGAATAGGGACACCGGGGAATGGGGTCCCTGTGGGGACATGGGGGCAAGCCTGAGTGGAGTGGGATCCCAGAGCATGGGGACCAAGAGGATGGAGTCACTAGGGAATGCCGAGCTGATGTGGGGACACAGAGATTTCCCCTGAGGGTAGGACCCTTGGGGCTGGGGACACTGGGGGACATCAGTGACATGGAGATGGGGGTCCAGGGAGCAAGACATGGGTGGTGGGGAGCTGTGGAGAGCAAGGGTGGGAGTGGGGATGGGGACGAGGGATGTCCCTGGAGCCCAGGGGGGCACTGCCTTCCATGGACTTCAACTTGCTGAGCCCCCCCAGGGCAGGCAGCCCCTCTGCTGCCCCCGGGATTCCATGGCTGAGCTGCCACTGGAGTGGCCTGGGAGGGACCTGGGGGCTCAGCCTGGGGAAAAGGAGGCTCAGGGGGGACCTCACTGCCCTCCACAAGTCCCTGACAGGAGGGTGCAGCCAGGTGGGGTCAGGCTCTGCTCCCAGGGAACCACCCACAGCCCCAAGCCACGGGATGTTTAGCTTGGGCATTCCTTCCATTAGAAAGAATTTCTTCAACGAAAGGGATTGAAGGTGGTGGTGGGGTCACCGTCCCTAGAGGTGTTGAAGGAAAGATTGGTCATGGCACTCAATGCCATGGTCTGGTTGACATGGTGGTGTTCAGTCACAGGCTGAATTTAATAATCTGAGAGGTCTTTTCCAACCTGATTCTGTGATCAATTAAAGTCCTATCTCCCCCTCAGCGTGCAGCAGGGTGTGGTGGTGCTTCTCTTTGGTGAGCAGCAAGGACTGACTCCACTGAACTTGGCAGATCAGTAATGTGGGGGAAAAGTGAAGTGTAGGTCCTGTGTGTCCCTCACAAAGCTGCAATCCCACATCCCATAATGGGGCAGCCCTCCTCACACCAGCATGTGGAAGACAGACAGACAGACCTTCAGGGGCTGACTGCCAGGGGTCTGTCAGTCGTGTTGTGGATCTGTCTGGCCATTCCACGGCTGATGCTCCTACTGCATCAAATTGCCAAACTACAGCCACAGCCTGGAAGGATGAGGGATAGCTGCCTGTGGGTGCTCTGGCCACACCTCTGAGTGTCTCCTGCTCCCCTGACCCTGATGGCACAGGGACACTGCAGAAGTCAGAGCCTCAGCACAGCCCTAGGGCAGCCCTGCTCAGCCCTCCAGCGCCAGCCATGGTACGCTTGCACCTTCCCAGCACGGGTCTGCCACACCCTCAGCAACACAAACTGTCACATTTTTTGCAAAATATTTTCCGTGAGTACCAAAACCTCTGTGAGTAAAGCAGTCTTTGAGCTATTAGTGTGTTACTGATACATGGCTCAGTGTTAATGACAGCACGTGCTGGAACATACAGTACATACTGTAATGAAACAGCTCATTGCTTACCCTAAATCAGCCTTAAAAAACATGCACATTCCCTAACTGACTCAAGCCTATGATTTTAATAGCTCTGTCCTGGTTGCAAAGTCTGTGTTGTGCTTCCCTGTGCTGCAATACATCTGTCTTCCATTTATCCAAAGGACAGATGCCATTCAGCAATGTGTTTACTTTGCATTTAACGAGTGATCACACAGCAAAAATCAACAAGGAACGGGTTTGATTTTGAGGAAAATACACTTGTGTCAGAGTCACTGTATCACCATGTAAGTAACTTAAATTTTTATAAAGGGGAGAAACTGGTGCAAGGATAGTTCTCCCTTAAAATATGCTTGTTCCCTTACATTCTTCCTAATACAATCTTAAGAACCCTGAGGAGTGATTACTGACAAGATACCATCCCAGAATGAGCACGCCATTTCTCATCTTCTGTTTTCAAACAACTCTGGAAAATAACAGCAAGGAAAGCCCTAGAAAAGTTCAGATGACATTGGATAGTTACATATTATTCAATTATCAGGTTTCATCCTTCCAGTGCTAACTAAACATTTAAAATTACATAATTTATCCTTATGACTCATTTGGGAGACAGGGAAGATTCTTCAGTTGCAGGCAGTGAAAATGAAGCACACAGGACAGGGTTCTCCACGGGGGAACTCATCCTGCAGGGGTGGCGTTGGTGTGGCTGTGGTGGTCCAAGGCAAACAGCAATATCCTGCCTTGGACCAACCAGCACAAATAACAGCAACTGCCCCTTCTTATAAAACTCATCTCACCCACTGGGTAGTCAGTTTAGTCATTTATTAGATGAAGTTACAAATTCCTAATGAAATAGAATCCCCAGTTCTCCTGCTGGCAGTGTTTTACCACCAGCTTGTATCCAGTTCAGCTTCTGATCACTGGTTTCACATGTCAAACCCCGCTCTGCAAAATCAGAGCTACCCCGAATGGAGCCATTCTTATGCCAGTTCTGCAATATGCTTTGTATTATTTTAGAATTTATATAAGGAATCAATTTGTTCTGCAGTCAAAGAGAAATCTTGGGACACGGTGCCAGATTAGTTTTTAAAATCAATATCCAGATCAGTTTCTCTAGCATGTTCCCTTTGAATTATGAGCTACTACAGCCAACACAGCAACTTTGGTTTCTGATAGATTAAATGCTACTGGAGGCCTGTGGTGCTTGGATTCCTGCCCGGTGAGCCTGAAACACCTCCGAAGGGAAGGCAGAGGAAGGGAACCTGTTTGGAGATTGTGCTGATTCAGCTGCAACTGAAAACCTCAGCCAGGACAGCTCCAGCAGCGCCCTAAACACCCTTTGGATGGAAATTGGTGAAACAATGTGTTAGATCAGTGAGTGGGCATGAGGAAGCAATGAGACATTTTCTAAAAAACTTCCCAGTCTCCGCAGGGCTGAGGCTGAAAGGCACAAAGATGGACAGGGACATGTATAATCTAAATTACTAAAAATACCACCAGTCTCTGCATGTCTTTTCTTGGTTCCAGAGAAATGTAGGGTTCCCTGTCAGCCTGGTATTTTGCCTGTCCCAGAAAGCCCTCACATTTCATTAGCCCATTATCTAATTGCTTCCCAAAACACTTCAGGATACACATGAATGTGTCATGTTTGCTCAGGAGACAAGTCAAAGGAAAAAAACCCAACCCATAGCTAAGAGACATAAATCCAGAGGGAATCCCCTGCACTGGTGTGACTGAATCACACAACCCCTTTGGCTGACTTCAGGAAAACAAAAGAAAAAATAAATTACTCAGTCAGACTTCAGAATTAATTTATCGAAGGGGCAGTCCACTTCCTTGACACCTCTGCAGCGGCAAGGCTGGTTTCCTTTCAGGGTTGTTTGTGTCACTGCTCTCCCCACAGCTGCACCACTGCCTTTGCTTTATCTTCTTTCTTTGTTAATGTCTGACAGCTCTTCTGCCACTGCAGTCTGCAGCTCTTCAGGTAAGACGTGCTAATCTACATCTCTTCTCCCTCACTTCGCATCTTTCTTTCCAGATCTAGGAATTAAAATGGCACTTAATCCCTTATTAATAAGTGAGCAATCTCACTTCATTTTACTCAAACCTTATGGAGAGCATGAGTCTTAATTTACTGATTTAATTACTTGCTAAGCAGCATTACACATATTGTCTTTATATTCTATATACATGATGGAAAGAAAACATATCCTCCTTCAGACATCCCTTCCTCAGTTCATTCCTAAATATGACAGCAAAGGTTTTCCTGCTTTATCTTCAGTCTTCTGGTTTTAGTCTCACTGGAGTCTAACATTCACTCCTTCCTTCCAGACCCCTCTGCTTTCTCAGGGCACAGCTGGTGGGACAGATCCTCTTCTCTCCCACTACCCTTCTGTCACCCCACAGCTGCTGCAGAGTGCCCTTTCACAGCACCAGGGGTGGTGATCTCTCTGCACACCAGGTGATGCTCCACATGAAAAGCATCTGAGGTGGAAGTTCAGTTCATGTTGTTTCCATGTCTCTAGAATTCTTGGAAGGAATGTGTGAGGCACGTGCACTGGCTGCCCACCACCAGCTCTGGTCCATGGATCACTGATTAATGGGGCAGGTGGAGGGGAACGTCCTTGCTGTGTTTTATGAGTGTCCCTGTGCTAGAAACAGGGAACATCAGTTTCTAGGGCTGCCAATCCAGCAGTTCCTTTTATATCCTCAAGCTAATTTTCTAATTAAAATTAAAAATTAAGGAAAAATAATACAATCACAAACCAAAATAATGACAGAAGATGTCAGTGTATTTACTTTTTGAGGTCCAGTAAAATAATTTATGAAGCTACACGGCTGGATCATTGTGCAGCTGCAGGTGACTCATCCTTTTAGGAGAACTGAACAATCACTGAACACTATTTAAATAGAAGAAAGGAGAGTGGGGATATATGGATAGATGTTTTACGTGCAGCCTATATATGTATGCATGTATTTCTGAATGTATTAGTATTTCTTTCAGATAAAATTATGAACTTTACTCGTGGAACCACTGAAAGTGCTCATTGTTAAAGAAAATCAAAGGGGCTGAAAAAGCCATTTGATCTGAAGCACTCCCTTCTAAGATCAGTTTGACACTGGGATCAGTGTGGGTTTCACGTGCTCGCTGGAATTCACAGGGTATTTCACTG